CATATCAATATAAGAATATTTGGATACTCGAATACGAGGGACCGACATGTCGAGTAAAAATATTGTGACTTAATATCCAAATGTTTTGGGTGGAGTAGGTATAACATGATTAGTGAGATCAATGATAATTATCACATTAAAAGTTGTGTTGACTATAAAATTAGTGACACTGTGTCTTTTATTTAAAACAATTATATGATGCACAGAAGAAATGTATTGGTTTGGGAAGCAATAATGCAGGGAAAAGGGACACAAGAAATGTAGTTTGATAAAAAAATGTCTCAACTTTCATTTTCGGGTTTGCAATTTTTCACTTTTGGCAGTCCTATGCCGTAGCGGACCTTTTTTATACATTTAAAACTCATACTTTTAATCGAATATTGCTACAGTTCCTTCTTATTAGGTAAGATTTATTATATATATATATAATGTCATTATCTTAGTAAAACTATCTTCATAAAATAGTTTACAATTCAACCACAAAAGTTAAGCTATACATCTTAACACTCAATATTCACTATCCTCAATCCTCAGGGTCAATATTGAGTGTTTTTAAATTTATAAAGGATTGGATATTAATTTAGTTCCTAATTTTGTCAAATATTTATGTTCGTTCATTTTTTTTGCCAATAAAAAATATTTTTTATTAATTTTATTCAATTTCATTATTTATTGGTAACAACGTCTAAATAACTTTCATCATTGAATAGTATACACCACGTGTTTATGATTTTTTGTATTTTTTTTAAATTTTTTGTTAATTTAAAGAAATATCCACATATGAAATCAACGTTATGTCGTGAAAAAGTAGAATTATCACGTGCATCGTTTTATATTGAATCTAATTTAGTATTTATATTTATTATTTTGATTCAGTTTACTTCGTATATTTGTTATTTTTATTCATATTTTTTAAAAATGGAATAATGTTTCTCTTTATATAAAGATTAAATTTAAATTTTATATAAATATTATTTGTATCTTTATTAAAATTTATATTTTTATTAAATATTTTTGGAATTATTTAAACTAACATTGACTTTATCATTAGATTCATGTTTCACTTTGGTTATATATATAAAATAAGATTAGAGAGCGATTGAAACTAAGGAAGAAATTATATATAAAATAATTTTACAAGATTTAGACTTGGTTAAAAAATCAAGATTAGAGTTAGTTTAAATTTAAAAGGAAATTTCTTCAGTAACAAAAAATAAACATAAATATAATCATTATATTATAATAATATAATTAGAAATATAATAATTATATTATAATAATATAATCATGGTCAATTTAAAAATAATTTTATAAATTTTAATAAAAATGTGAATTTTAATAAAAATATCAATACATTCAATTAAATAATATAATATTTTAATTTAGAAATAAACAATTTAAAAAAAATGAAAGTGAAATAAATCAAAATAAAAAATATATAAAAATTGAATTGAATATAAAATATTGACACATAACACTAACACTACTATTATTTGATACACATATAATTTTAATTTAAATAAATAAATAAAATAAAATAAAACAAAAAACTATTAATATAATATACACTATTCCCATGATATTAACTATTTAAAAAGAAAATAACTAAATTAAACAAAAATAATAAAAATAAAAATTTTATTTTATCATAAAAAAAATCACATTAAATAAACTAAACCAACATAAAAGTCAAACTAATATTTACGCTAGTACAAAGAAAGCGTATAACATCACACGTTCGACGTCCAACTACCGAATAACCAACTTTAAAAACGAGCGGTGATATTTTTGTAAATAAATACAATTATTAAATATTGTTTAGAATTGTAATTCGACGTAAAAGATATAAAAGGTCGAATGACTTTTAAATTCGACGTAAAAGGTTAGTGAATTCAATAAAATTTTGAGCGAGAGATTGAAAATTCATTCATTTTATCTTAGCGCACGAGCGAAGTTTGACGAACATTATATGTAATCTTTCTTTCATTTGATACAAATGCATATTAATTAATTACTTTATGTATGATTTTTGTTTGTTTTAACCCATTATTTTTGTGCTCTTATCCTTCATAGGCGCATTCTGTGTGACGAAACTTCATTCCGACGAACTCACCTTTTGAATGTTAATTTTCGTTTTCGTTTTGAAGAACTTTGTTGAACTTGTTTGTTGTTGTTTGATTGAACTTGTTTGGTGTTGTTTGATTGAATTTGTTTGTTGTTGGTTATTATTGTTTGCTGTTAGTACAAGTTCATGCTTTATAAAATATAAAAAACTGAAATTTGTTGTTTTTTTGCTTGTAGAGTTGTAAAAAATATCACAATTAATTAAAAAAAAACTAAAAAATTTTATTAATGTCGAATATTGACAAATTTCATAGAGTAATTTAACATCTCCTGATACGACGTTGTTCGCGAATTTACCGTTAAAAATCCAAAAATATTCGACGCGATTAATTATAAATAAACTTCAATACCAACATTGAAAAAAACATACCATAAAGATTTATAATTTGGAGTTTCTAAATATCTTTTTTGTTTTACCAATTCAACAGTGGTAACCAATTCTTTTTAATGAAATTCGTAATCAAACAAACTTAAATAACATTTAAAATTGAGCTTTTGCAAAATTCAAGTAATTGTTTATTCTTGAAAATAGTTTAGTACTAGAAATAAATCATTTTAGGATAGAACTAGAATAATCCTTGGAAAAATATTACAGTTTTTAAATCAATTGCACATTTAGATATTTTCTCTATGACAGTAATGTAGGCTACAGAGAATCCAGTTCAGTTTGATAATGACTTGTGTCTTCATTTAACTAATTAATAATAGTTGATTAATTTTGGAAAAGACAAGGCTGTTAGATTGGATGATAAAAGAAAGGAGATTATAGAAGATTATCTTAAGGCAACTTTCTCTGGAGGCCTAACTGCTATTTAACGGCCATATTTTGGTTTCAGATTTAATTAAACACTTTTAAGACAGACTTATCTGACTCAAATTACAAGATAGCCCTTGATCGACTGATACTAAAATACATTTTCGTTCATGAATTGGTCACCAAATTACTGGATAATCCTTGATCAATAATAATTCAGAACTCGCGAAAAATTGACAGGAGTCAAAAACTTGTTATTATTATTAGCACTTTAATACTACAACGTTTTGTTTTTGTTAAGTACAAATTTTTAATTAAATGCCGCGTGTACTTAGGAATAATTTTAATAGTTTAATCAATATATATTACCAGTGTACAAATTTTAAATTGTTAATTGCTTAGAAATTAAGCTTAATATGTTTACTGATAATTTTTATCAAAATTAATAAATTCATAGTAAAAATATTTACACCAGTAAAAAATTATCTGACACCCTTTAAATACATCAAAGTTTTTGTTTAATGTTCTTAAGCTATACATAAATATAAATGATTTAATAATTATTTTATTGTTTTTTATAAATTATAACCCAAGCAATTCAAGATAATATATAATTATAATTATATAACGGCACACGTATATGCTTTTCATATTTATATTTTTTATAGTTATACAAAATTAATAAATGAAAAGATAACTCAGTTAAAATTAATTTTTGTAATAACTTAATATCTCCCTACAAAAAATAATTTAAAACGGGGTCACAAAAATAACTATATATTAAAATTAATTTTAAATAAGTTTTTGAAAAAACCAGGAGCGTATGTATCAAATTTAAAATGGGTACAATAGTCCTTACAAAAGTAATATGTCCCCTTTAATCTCTGAAAGTAAACAAACTGAAAGAAAAAAGTTAATGAAATTACAATCTGTTGCCTATTTTAGTCTAAAATTAAAAAAAGTTGTATAGTTTTAGCGATAATTTAACAGGTTTTTAGAATTTTAGTGAATATGTCCGCGTGAAGGAGTTGCTTACACAGTATATGATTTGATTTTGGTTTCTTTAATTTAAATTTAAGATTTGACTTTCAGTTATAATGAGGAAATTAATACTTTTTGTTCGAAAAAAATATTAATGAAATGTTAAAGAGATAGTATGGTTAGAAAAACATAATTGTATATCCAATCTCAACGTGTACCTATATTTTATAGCAAATCTAAAAATACATTAGAAAAAACAAAAATAATATAATTAAAGTGTAGTAGCTGTAAAAAGAAAAATCTATGGCAAAATTTCATAATGCAGTCTCTGATTTTATACGTTAAAATTTGCAATAGTAGATAATTAAGGATTTTTTTTTTCTAGCGCTACGGAATCAAGCAAAATTGATTATCAATAAATACCATAAAGAAGTTTGATAGTAGGAGTTGGAAGATATATAAAAGAGGGACCAATTACGCCTTATTATGGTGCCATTTTCAATACAAGCTGGTAAATATTTCATGCCATCAAACTATTCAAATTTTAAAATACCAACACTATCTATCCATCCACATAAATTATTATCTTATTATACGTCTATCTTTTTTCCTATAATTAGTGCTACAAACTTCGCCAAGCCCCACACTATCAAACCCTAACTCAACCACGAAAAATCTTTTCTAAAATGGCATTCCATTTGAATTAAAATACTATCTATTTTCCCCAAATAAGTAAGTAATCATAGGAGGGTACAAAATCTTCTGTTACCATTTCGTACAAGTATATTTTCTTCGAGTAAATCACAACTTCATTTTTTTTGGTGAAGACATAATGCTATGAAAAATAAGAAAAATATTGAACATGTAGATTTTATTTTAGTGTCAAGAAATATTTTTTGTAAAACTCTTAATTATTTTTAAATAGTATACTTGCGTGTTTTCTTTTTTAATTTCTGAAAATTCTGACAGAATGAGATACTATTTTTTATTTGAAAATTCTGCCATTGAATCTTACTGGTCGTAGAGCAAACGTGAAAGGCCAAAAAAGTAATTATGAGAGCTGAGCGTGTTGTTGTTGTAGTTTAGTGTGGCTCTGCTTACTTACTCCCACAGCTACCGGGTTCAAATTTTTTATTGATATTTTGAACGTACCTTCAAACTCTGAGAGCGAAAGCCAGAAGAGAGACGTTGGCATTTTGGTATGTAAAACCTTCAAACTTGAAATCAAATTTGTCGATGTGAGAGTGTGTGTGAGTTTGTGTGTTGTGTGCACTGTGCAGTGCAGAGAGTGGAATCCTTTTCGGAAAAAGCCACACGTCTTCATCATTGCATCGTCTTTTCTTCCATGAAACATCCTTAGCGGTCCCTTCATATATCCTCAAAACCCACCTCACATTTGTCTTACCGTTATGTTTCGACCCACGTTCCCAGTATCTTCTTATCTGCCTCCCTGCTAACTGCCCCATTTCCCTTTTTCGACTCAAACCGCTTTCTTTCTCTCCCAGATGGATGTTTTTCCCGGCAAGAACGAAACTTCTCAAAACAAAACAGATGGGGTTTCCTCTTGTCTCACCGATTCCACTGCAGACTCCAGGGAAACCAGTTTCTGTGCATCCACTTCTTCAGTTACCGTTGAAGAAGCAAAGGCAAAAGGCTCTTCTTCACCCGCTCCTCTTGGTTGGCCCATTCTCAAGGCTACACTCTCCAAGCGCTCTAATTCACATGAAAAAGAAAACGAACATAAATCTCACTTGGAAGACACTAAGCTTACTCGTATTGGTTTGAAGCTGTCAGGTTAGTTTTTTTTTTTTTTTTTGTTTATCTTTTAAAGAATGTTATGATAGATGGACGTGGCTGTGTTTGGAAAGTAGAAAAGTATTGTGGGAATTTTACTTGATAGAGACTATTTTTTCAGTTGAATTCGTTGGAGTTAATAATTGGACTCCCTTTAAAGTCATTAATTAATGCCCCTTTGTTATTTTGTGTAATAACTCTAACTAGAGCTAATTATTAGATTTATTTTAATTTGTTTAAAACAGAAGTTGACATGATGAAGGAGAGGTTTGCAAAATTGTTGCTTGGTGAAGATATGTCAGGTTCTGGTAAAGGGGTTTGCACTGCTTTGGCCATCTCTAATGCCATTACTAATCTGTGTGGTATGCTTCCTTTCTTGCACACAGACATTTGGCTATCAGTTTAATTGAGAAGCTGTTTGGTTTGTCTTTGTTGGTCAAGTAGTTCAAAATTTTGAATTTTCTCGTTTGNCAAGAGAATCACAGAAAAAATAAATTGAATCAGTCGTATGTAATAGCAAATAATATATTATAGACTAAGAAAAATATAAGCGTTTTCTGATATATTGACAAAATATATTCTCATCTATTTTATAAGTCAGTTTTTTTAGGACAGTTGTTTGTCCCAATCCAAGATAAAGGTGTGCCCGTAAATGATATTTTGATGGACAAGTTAGGTATGTACTTATTTATAGTGAATTTTTATTTGGATAAACTTAGGTTATTTATGTGGTTAATCTTTGTTAATTTGTTTTAGGATTCCGATGATCTATCTTATACATCAACATCTACTAATTATATTTATCTTTATCGGTTTTGTTCAAAATGTTCTTATCAAATGATGTCATTTTACTTCTTTTGTATGATTATTAAATGGATTTTTATTCTCTCAAATTTTCGCATGTTAAATCTTAAGTCAATTTTTTTTAAAAGTGTTAGAGATATTAATTAAGAATACAGTTACGGATTTTTCTTACAACTTAAAAATTGAAAAAAAAAATGAAAATTAAGTTAAAAGTCATTTACATAAATAAATGAACACTATATTTAGTACATTGAAAAAAAAAACACTAATGACCTCCCTTCTTAATGTTATTACGAGAAGAGATCTGACTGATCGGATATGATTGTGTGCTGAGTCGAATGGATCGAACGGCCGAAGTACGGAAAAGACAGTCGATCGGTCACGAGTTGAGCAGAGTTAAAATACAATCAATACAATAATTGCTATTAATGAGTGGTTAAAATTGATATTAATGACCATTAAGAGATAAATTAATTTGTCAGATTCTTTTAAATTCTATAAATAGGAGTTTAATTTCGAAGTTAAAGACATTTTTTTCATAATTGAATTACTTTAGATCTAGAGACAAATTATAACTTAGCGTCATAATGTCTTCTATATATCAAACCTATTAGTCACCCAAAACAGAGTGAAACAGTCACATAGAACATAGTGAAAATAAATAAGACACGAGATTATTTATTGATTGAAAAATATTTATCCCCATCCCAATCCAGCAAAATCACTTAATACTTTTATTGAGTTAATTGATTGAAAAAGATTAAAATAATATTAATAAAAATACTAAATTTGATTTGATTAAACTTAGGAGCGAAAGTAACAGTTGTTAAATAGGTTTTTGAGGTAGTATATAGTCGACATTGCACGTGAAAGGGACATAACGTATATATGTGGACTCTATCTCAATGTTTATCAGTTGTTTCCGGTTCATATAGGAAGAACAATCACAACCTTCCAAACCCACAATTAATTCGGAGCTCCGAAAGAGTAAGTCAATGCATCGCCGGAACAAAATTTTACAAAAGAAAAAGGAAAACTAAAACTCATCATAAACGAACAGAATCTACTCTATTATAAATAAAATTCATTAAATCCATAACATGAATTTAATTCAAACTGGATTTAATTTAAATTAACAAATAATTCAATTATTTTTTAGGACTATCCACAGTTCCACCAATGGGAAGGAAAAGGGCGAAAGTAAATTTAAAAGGGATGGCAGAAAAAGAAAAAAGTTTTGGAAAGGTAGCTGCAATGAACTACAAAAGGTTAAGAGTTAAACGGTTCATAATTAATAAACGGATATAATAACAGTTAGTCACCTTTTTTTTTTAACTTTACTTTCAACAACTCCATTGTCAAAAACAACGTGCAAGGTCGGCCTTTTAACTTTTCGTCATCGTTTTGTGGGTTGAAACGGATACAACGTACATAAATTTCAAATGAACACACGCACAAGGTTCAATCTCGTAACTCGGGAAGTTTATGAGTATGAAGTTTGTAAAAATTATCATTAAGAATTAAGAGATTAAAAAAATATGAATATAAAAATAAATGAAAAAAAATTACGTGACTAGTATAGTGTATTTATAGTTTTTTATCTTTAAATAAACAATATAAATATAATAAACTCATATTATTATTAAAATATTGTAACGATATTCATCATCACATATCAATATAAGAATATTTGGATACTCGAATACGAGGGACCGACATGTCGAGTAAAAATATTGTGACTTAATATCCAAATGTTTTGGGTGGAGTAGGTATAACATGATTAGTGAGATCAATGATAATTATCACATTAAAAGTTGTGTTGACTATAAAATTAGTGACACTGTGTCTTTTATTTAAAACAATTATATGATGCACAGAAGAAATGTATTGGTTTGGGAAGCAATAATGCAGGGAAAAGGGACACAAGAAATGTAGTTTGATAAAAAAATGTCTCAACTTTCATTTTCGGGTTTGCAATTTTTCACTTTTGGCAGTCCTATGCCGTAGCGGACCTTTTTTATACATTTAAAACTCATACTTTTAATCGAATATTGCTACAGTTCCTTCTTATTAGGTAAGATTTATTATATATATATATAATGTCATTATCTTAGTAAAACTATCTTCATAAAATAGTTTACAATTCAACCACAAAAGTTAAGCTATACATCTTAACACTCAATATTCACTATCCTCAATCCTCAGGGTCAATATTGAGTGTTTTTAAATTTATAAAGGATTGGATATTAATTTAGTTCCTAATTTTGTCAAATATTTATGTTCGTTCATTTTTTTTGCCAATAAAAAATATTTTTTATTAATTTTATTCAATTTCATTATTTATTGGTAACAACGTCTAAATAACTTTCATCATTGAATAGTATACACCACGTGTTTATGATTTTTTGTATTTTTTTTAAATTTTTTGTTAATTTAAAGAAATATCCACATATGAAATCAACGTTATGTCGTGAAAAAGTAGAATTATCACGTGCATCGTTTTATATTGAATCTAATTTAGTATTTATATTTATTATTTTGATTCAGTTTACTTCGTATATTTGTTATTTTTATTCATATTTTTTAAAAATGGAATAATGTTTCTCTTTATATAAAGATTAAATTTAAATTTTATATAAATATTATTTGTATCTTTATTAAAATTTATATTTTTATTAAATATTTTTGGAATTATTTAAACTAACATTGACTTTATCATTAGATTCATGTTTCACTTTGGTTATATATATAAAATAAGATTAGAGAGCGATTGAAACTAAGGAAGAAATTATATATAAAATAATTTTACAAGATTTAGACTTGGTTAAAAAATCAAGATTAGAGTTAGTTTAAATTTAAAAGGAAATTTCTTCAGTAACAAAAAATAAACATAAATATAATCATTATATTATAATAATATAATTAGAAATATAATAATTATATTATAATAATATAATCATGGTCAATTTAAAAATAATTTTATAAATTTTAATAAAAATGTGAATTTTAATAAAAATATCAATACATTCAATTAAATAATATAATATTTTAATTTAGAAATAAACAATTTAAAAAAAATGAAAGTGAAATAAATCAAAATAAAAAATATATAAAAATTGAATTGAATATAAAATATTGACACATAACACTAACACTACTATTATTTGATACACATATAATTTTAATTTAAATAAATAAATAAAATAAAATAAAACAAAAAACTATTAATATAATATACACTATTCCCATGATATTAACTATTTAAAAAGAAAATAACTAAATTAAACAAAAATAATAAAAATAAAAATTTTATTTTATCATAAAAAAAATCACATTAAATAAACTAAACCAACATAAAAGTCAAACTAATATTTACGCTAGTACAAAGAAAGCGTATAACATCACACGTTCGACGTCCAACTACCGAATAACCAACTTTAAAAACGAGCGGTGATATTTTTGTAAATAAATACAATTATTAAATATTGTTTAGAATTGTAATTCGACGTAAAAGATATAAAAGGTCGAATGACTTTTAAATTCGACGTAAAAGGTTAGTGAATTCAATAAAATTTTGAGCGAGAGATTGAAAATTCATTCATTTTATCTTAGCGCACGAGCGAAGTTTGACGAACATTATATGTAATCTTTCTTTCATTTGATACAAATGCATATTAATTAATTACTTTATGTATGATTTTTGTTTGTTTTAACCCATTATTTTTGTGCTCTTATCCTTCATAGGCGCATTCTGTGTGACGAAACTTCATTCCGACGAACTCACCTTTTGAATGTTAATTTTCGTTTTCGTTTTGAAGAACTTTGTTGAACTTGTTTGTTGTTGTTTGATTGAACTTGTTTGGTGTTGTTTGATTGAATTTGTTTGTTGTTGGTTATTATTGTTTGCTGTTAGTACAAGTTCATGCTTTATAAAATATAAAAAACTGAAATTTGTTGTTTTTTTGCTTGTAGAGTTGTAAAAAATATCACAATTAATTAAAAAAAAACTAAAAAATTTTATTAATGTCGAATATTGACAAATTTCATAGAGTAATTTAACATCTCCTGATACGACGTTGTTCGCGAATTTACCGTTAAAAATCCAAAAATATTCGACGCGATTAATTATAAATAAACTTCAATACCAACATTGAAAAAAACATACCATAAAGATTTATAATTTGGAGTTTCTAAATATCTTTTTTGTTTTACCAATTCAACAGTGGTAACCAATTCTTTTTAATGAAATTCGTAATCAAACAAACTTAAATAACATTTAAAATTGAGCTTTTGCAAAATTCAAGTAATTGTTTATTCTTGAAAATAGTTTAGTACTAGAAATAAATCATTTTAGGATAGAACTAGAATAATCCTTGGAAAAATATTACAGTTTTTAAATCAATTGCACATTTAGATATTTTCTCTATGACAGTAATGTAGGCTACAGAGAATCCAGTTCAGTTTGATAATGACTTGTGTCTTCATTTAACTAATTAATAATAGTTGATTAATTTTGGAAAAGACAAGGCTGTTAGATTGGATGATAAAAGAAAGGAGATTATAGAAGATTATCTTAAGGCAACTTTCTCTGGAGGCCTAACTGCTATTTAACGGCCATATTTTGGTTT